TTATAACTGTAAAGCTACTTTTGCTCACCCCTGTATTTGTTGAACTAGTCGGCTCTGATCCCCAGCTCCAAGTGCACAGTGGGCAGCAATGCATTTATTGAATGCAAGCCTGATCTGGGCTGAGCAGTGCTTTGGGTTTGGTTCCCCTGGGTCCCTGGAGATTTGTCTTCAGGAGTTTGTTGCTCTGTCCCTACCTTCCTTCAGGCTGGCTCCAGGCCCTGCTTCAGCTGTCTTCTGATTCTATAAGCACTTACTGTCTCCTAGTCCCCAGCTCCTGTGGAAGAACCCACCCGTACCCCCGATCCCATGTCTAGTTTCTCCCCTTCCTCCAACACAAAGGCCTAGTGCCTCTTGTCTGGGTGCCCCCAGGCTGATCTTGCCTGATCTGTCAGCATGCTTCTGGGAGGCTGGCATCCTGTGCCACTGGTGACCAGAGCACTCAAAGGGGGTCTGGCTGGAGCCAATCTGGGCTCTTCTGCTGAGGACCAGACCCCTACCCACTCCTGACAGCACTGGAGCTGGGATGGGTGCAGAGAAGACACCCCTGCTGCCTGCCCCTGCCAAGCACACATAATCTTGCTCTCTCTTCAGAACTGCCACTCTCTCTCTGAGCCTCCTTATTATTCACCTTCTGTGGCTGATGGGTGGATCCAGTGACATCACTGAGTGTGAAGGAGTCTGGGGAAATATCTCAACGGAAAGGGTGATGAGGCCTAACATTTGACTGCCCTCTTTGAGATAGGAAATTCTGGGGGGAGGGAATAGGATGGGAGGCACCCAGGGGTCAGCCGAAACCTACAGTTATGTGCTTAGCTGCAAAGTCCTTCTACAGAAGCAAATGTCAAGGCAGGCTAAAAATGTTGCTCAGTGGTTCCAGAACCTGTCTTGCTTCATGCTAGGCCTCATCAAAGGCTAGGGCCAGATGGCAGATGGACAAGCACCCCATCAGCTTCATGTTTGTTAGAGGTTCAATTCAGGCCAAAGAGGTATGTTGAGGCTGGTTGCCATATATTCCTCAACCTTCAAGATGAGCACCATTTCCTAGCCACAGGCTCTGGACCTGAGAACAGCCTCTGAACCACTGCAGACTCAGCAGGACAAATAGAAAAGGGAACAGAGGGTGATAGGAGGGGACAAGTAGGGGTGCCAGGGCCTGCAAATACTGGGGCTGGGAGTGGGGCTAAGGTTAGATCCAATGAACCTGGTTGGGCCAAGAATCCATGACTCCTCCTGGGCTCTCTGAATGCAACCCCTGCTCTGAACCTACCCTAGCAGAGGAACTCTCATCCTGCTAGCAAGTGTTGCTGAATACTTGAGCAAAGCACTGGGTGCAAGAACTATGGAAATGACTCATAGCTCCTGACTTCAGGGACCACAGAGATGGGACCCAGAGAGAGAAGGAGCTAGGGCTATTAGAAAATACTGTTTTCAGGAGCTTGCTTGTGAACAGGACTCGATGGGTAGAATTGACAAGGCTAGAAAGAACATTTCAGGTCAGAGGTCCAGAAACAAACATAGAAGGATCTAGCAGGAACAGAGGGCTAAAACAAAGTAGTGTCTTTGATCCAAGAAGGGCCTTATGACAGTTCAGTTGTAATGCCAGTTGGAGGGACCACCTCAGGAAGCTGGGGTGCTCTCTTGCAAGACATAGTGGTTTATGCTACAAATCAGTGACCAAAATGTGAGGCTATTTATATAACAGCCACAAACCAAGTAGTATGGTGGGTGGCACCTTCAATGAACCCACCGAATAACTACTCTCAAAAATGACTGCTTTGAGCCTGGCCGGGAGTGGCTCAGTGGTTGAGCATTGACCTAGGATCCTGGAGATCGCAGTTTGATTCTTGGTCAGGGCTCTATCCCCAGTCAGGGGTGTGCAGGAGGCAGTCGATCAGTAATGACTCTCTCATCATTCATGTTTCTATCTCTCTCTCTCCTTCTCCATTCCTCTCTCTGAAATCAATACAGATATATTTTTTTAAAAAGAAGAAAAAAAAAGACAGCTTTGAAAAAGAAAAAAAGAGAGAACTCATGGACATGGACAACTGTGTGGTGATTGCAGGGGC